TGTAATAAACATTACCTATAGATCAGAAAGAACCTCCACTTGAGAATAAGTTCACATGAATAAGGCTGTCAAGTGACAACCATTGCCATCAATGGAAGAATTCCTCTAGAGCAATTACTGCTAATGCCACAAACCAATGAGAAAGATGAGCATCATGGCTTTCAAAATATATGGTATTCACTTCTCAACATGGCATGTGGGAAATTCTGCATCACTTTTTTCTCCTTTCATTCTTTGTTCCATCAATCATTCATTAATCAAGTCATTAATCCACACTGGCTGGTGTAGCTCAATTGGCTGGGTGTCACGCTGTGCACCAAAAGGTCAATGGTTCGTTCATTCCTAGTCAGGGCACATGCCCAGGTTTTGGGTTTGATCCCCAGTAGGGGGTGGGTGTGGAAAGAAACTGATTGATGTTTCTCTCTCCCATTGATGTTTCTCTCTCTCTCCCTTCCTTCCTCTTTATCTAAAATCAATAAAAAAATTTAAATATATAAAAATAAAAATAAAAAGTCATTAACTCAACATACCTACTAAATGCCAGAAAAACATACTATATGCCAGGATACAGCAAAAATAATAATATAAGAACCTAGCTCTCAAATAATGCCTGTTTACTATGCACAGGTCACTGTTCCAAGGATATACATCAGCTCATTTAATTCTTGTACCATTCTCTTGAGGAAAGGACAACTATATGCCCACTTTGCAGATGAGCAACTGAAGTACAGAGAGATTAATTTCCCAGATCACACAATCAGTGAATATCAGTGTCAGGGTTCAAACCCACATTTTTTTACTCCATTGTCTATGATCTAGACCTCTATGCTATATGAAGAGAAAAATGGCTTTCTGAAACTTTCAATATACTGGAGAAGACAGACATAAAACAAAGGAACACACAAACACATCTTATAAATGGTGATAAGAAATATAAAAAAGAACAAGATGCCATGGAAATAAGATGGTATAACATTACAAAAGCAAGAAATGCCATGATTATTACCTCTGCTGATTCTCATCTCACCTAAATGACAAAGTTATAAAATGTAAGACGGTGCCCTGGCCGGTTTGGCTCAGTGGTTGGAGCATCGGCCTGTGGACCAGAGAGTCCCGGGTTCAGTTCCCAGGTTCTGGGGAAAACTAAGGTTGGGAGACCAAGGAAAGTGACTAGCAATTCAGCCTTTGACCCTGTCATAAACCCTTGCCATCTTGGTGGTCCTTTTTGTTGGTAAGCTCAGAATGACAAAATAAAAGAGATTTGGCAAATGTAAGCCCTTCTCCTATCTTTATCCCCCTGAATAAGGAAATTCAACCTGTATCAGGTGCCCCTTCTTCACACTTGAAAGTAACTCCTTACCTGCTGCCGACAACCAAGAAGTCCATGGTGGATATCTAAAAAGAAAAAATCTTAACTTCTGCTTTAATGCTTTAGCATATTTAAAAAATAAGAGTAAAAAGATTTTCTTTACCTATAATGGCTAACACTTGAGCTTCTGGAAACAATTCAAGATATGGCTTATAGTCAGCAAAACAAATATAACATCTTATGAGACCTGAAAACATACTAAAATACTGTTTAAAGATCAAAACAGAAAAGCAGAAAATCAAATTCCCAGCACGACAAAATTCTCTTTCCATCTTGAGGTTTTTTTTTTTTGTCTTGTTTGTTTTTTTAAATCTGGGCTTTATTATCATACCCAGCAATTAGAGATCTACTTCTTTTCTTTTAGTGTTGGAGAAATTATACAGAAAGAAAAAAGGTTTCTTTTTTCTTCTCTAAAAGTTGTCTCTCTGTAGATTGGGAAATTTCATATCTTTGATTGTTATTTATTTTCTGTATTATTTTTATGTCTTCAGCCTTTATATCAGGCATGGCCCATAAGTATAGGATTATATCCAACAGCAGTGTGATCATTAGCTCCTAATTTTGTAATTTCACTCCACTGAGGTTAATAATGATTCAGAAGGGAAAGTGAGAGGAAGAAGGCAGATGTTCATAATAGCACCATTAATTATATAGACAAACAACATCATTTTCAGGTCCAATAAAAGTACTTTTTCTAGTTGATTGTTCAGAATCATAACAAGAATAATTCTTGATGTTGTACTGCCACAAGAAAGTCTTCTGCCTCATCACCTTAGTGTATCATTTCATGTGGAATTTTATATTCTACCTAACTTTAATTAATGATGTTACTATATTAAAATGCCTAGACAACTAAATACACAAGTTAATCATTTGACTTTCAATGAGGGTTAAACAGTCTCTAATAAGTAAATGGTATATTAAATCTCATCTTTCATAGCACATTATACTTGAGATTAGCCTTGGTACAGTTAAAAGTATGAAGTCTCCTTTTTTTTTCAAATTTTTTTGGTACGTGCCCCTAGCAGGAACCAAACCTGGGACTCTCTGGTCTACAGGCTGATGCTCCAACTGCTTAGCCAAACCAGCCAGGGCTGAAGTCTCCTTAGTATTAAAAAGGAATAGTCTAAATGTTAGAAACTAAGCTTTGAAAGTAACTTACAACACATAATGTCAAATTTCTTGTTAGTGTCATGAAACTTAAAAATAAAACCTCCCAAAACCACGTTAAATGTGACATTCTTTAGAAATATCTTCTATATTCCATTCCTTACAAAAATCTGTAAATGTAACTTACTTTGATTCTTAATTGCCCCATTGCCATTATTCATTTTTAAAATTAATATGCTTCATTAATAAAGTTGCGTCTTCCTGTGTATTTTCAAGAAATAAAATACCAAATAAATTGCAAAATAAAGGCTTTAAAAAGTATGTCTGGAACTTAAATACCTGTACCACTCCTAAAGTGAAGTAAATGTCCTTGTATCATCTTCAGGACAAAGGCTATTATCACATTTTACGTTGACATATAGAAAACAAGGTAGCATGTATATGTAAAATTTATTTAAAAAAAAAAAAAGACATTATATTTCACTACACCAGAATAAATTATTTTTGTGTATTCTATTCCAGGAAGAAGAAGGAAAAAATATTTTAATAGTTGCAGTTTATATTAACTTCTAAGCTGGTAATTCTTTTCCAAAGATAGTTTTCTTCCCTTTTAAAAGAAAAACAAAAAAAACACTTTTGTTTAGAGTACAAAAATCTCATTAAAATAAAATTTTTAGAAATGTAAACATGTGAGAAATCACCTGCACATTACTTTTAGACCTTTGAAAAACCTAATTTGGATCACCAGTCTAAATAGGTCATTTAACTTAGAAAAATTAAAATGAGCTGTGCAGGGCCACCTCTTTTTCTAAAACATAGCATCCTCAATATCCTACTGTATTCAAAGTCAAACAAGAATGAAGTATTAAGAACAACTATAATACGTTAATTTATTCCAAATCTCAAAGTCGGCACATGAAATGGCCATAAAAGTTTACATTACGTACAAAAAGATATAGTTTGTGTGTGTGTGTGGTGGGGGGGGGCAGGGGGTGGAAGGTTGCTTCAAGAAGTTGGGAGTGGAAGGACAGAAGGAAAAGCAAAGAACTCTTACATTCCAAGAAGATAATGGTGTGTGTGTGTGTGTGTGTGTGTGTGTGTGTGTGTGGTGGGGGGGTCCTCTACTGGTGCTCTTTTCTTGCCTTTCACATGGGGCACATTCACAGTTCATGGAAAATCAAAATGAGTCCATACAAACTTAATACAAAACAAGTACTTCCATACTAGATTAAGCTTCTCTTATATCAAACTATCAACATAAGATTATGAACCTTATCTCTTCTGTACAGCACCTTTAAAGACTTAATCACCCTAGGACACTGGTAAACTCCAGGATCAAATCCTTATTTCCCAGAAGACCCTTCCAGAGTATAAGAATAACTACAAAATCTTTACGGTAACATCTTTGAAGTGTGAAAGCAATACACACACACACACACACACACACAATTGGCTGCCTGAGACATCCTTCATTATTCCATAGCAGATCATCCATAAAATCAAAAGGATCCTGGCAATGTTGGAAAAAGAGGGTGTCAAGTGTCGGAGAATAAAGTCTGCCTTCATAATGCAGGGCGCCTGAGGTGGCTGGCAGAGAGGGAATCAACTTCATGGCAGGTAGAGAAAGGAGTCAGTTTTATTTCAGAACTCTCCAAACCCACCAGGAAATGTATCCCATTCTTTCTAGGTTAAAAGTAACTGTGATGCTCAGAAAAAATACTTTCCTATTCTCCAGCTAGCAACAATCTATCACCAACAGGCAAAGAATTATCAGATATGCTAATGAAACAGGTTTTCCTCTCTGCCCACCTTCCTAAAGCCACTTCCCTAAAATGAGACCTTCATTCTCTCAAGATCTCGCTCTGTTTAAAGACGGAATGGAAGAACCTCTGCTCTGACAAGGAAGCAAACCTAAGACTTGACATCTGAGAATTGCTAAGGAACAATGGTAAGCTACATTTTCTCTAAAAGGGTCAAACCCAAAACGATTAGGATTTACTCATTTCCAGATGCATGATAACATTTTTATAACTGCCCGGAACAGAGAGAAACAATTCCACTCTAGCACTCCGCTCCACATGGGCCAATGACTGAAACCGTTCCCGAGAGGGACACAGCAGGCTGACTCTCTTTCCACTACAACCTCTCCAAATTCCCTTTTCACCTCTCTGTCTCAGGCCGTCCTTAGTCCCTCAGCACGCGCCCTAAACGCAGCTTCTCCCCATCTTTAGTTCTGAGTGGACTCGGCCCAGCAAACGCCCTGCCTATGGCAAGTCCTTCTGGGTGGTGTCCCCGCACTTGGGAGGTTCTCAAAAGCCCCGGGACAAGAGGCTCTTGCTAGGTCCCAGGAACCCCGGGGTTTCCGGCCTCCCAGGGCTCCTGCCACCCACACCCCCAATTTTGAGCTGATTAAGTTGCTCGGCAGCCAGCAGCGCTCACAGCCCGGGTCCCTCCCACTCCCGCCCCTCCAGCTCCTGCGCCCTGGGGTCCCCCCGCCTCCGGGAGGTGAGCGCGTACTCACCAGAGGTGAGCTGCATCCAGGCACAGATCTTGTACACGGTCGCGGTGTTGCAGAAAAAGAAGAGGGTAAAGCATACCATACAGGCGATGATGAGCATCATGGAGAGGCCGATGAAGAAGGAGGCAGCTTTGAAGGCGCCGGAGGGCAGCGTGGAGAAGTCTGTGAAGCTTCCCCTGCAGGTCAGCTCCCGGGAGAAGCCGTTGCCGATGCAGTAGTGGAAGAGCCCGAAATAACCGGCTTGCGGGGTGTCCACGCCGTCGCCGATCCAGTACGGTTGGATGAAGCACACCACGTTGACGATGGCAAAGCAAATGGTGAAGATGGCCCACAGCACACCGATGGCCCGTGAGTTCCGTACATAGTTGGTGTGGTACAGCTTCGCAGCCTCCTGAGCCGGGAGCATCGCGGCGGCGGCGGCGGCAGCGGCGGCGGCTCCGGGCATTCTCCCCCTCCTCCTCCTCCTCCTCCTTCTCCTCCTCCTGCTTCAGGTCCTCCGCCTCACCGGCCTCACGGCGCTCAGGAGACACACTCACCGAGCTGCGCGCTGCAACTCCCTTGCCTCCGCCTTAGCCCAGCAGCACCAGTTTCAGAGTCCGCATCCTCGCTCCCGGAAGGAGGGCGGGGGAGCGACAAGCACCCCTCCGGCTCTCCTGGCACAGCCTCGCGGCCCCCCTCCCTTCGTCCTGGCCGGGGCTCCAGCCCTTCTCACCACCCTCCACCCCTCTTCCCGCCGCGGCTGCAGCTGCTGCAGCTGATGGCGACAAATCCCACGCGGAGCAGTGTGGAGCGCGAGCTCGGGCACCCCCACCCGGCTTCGCGCCTTCCACCCTTCCTCCTGCAAGCTTGGTTCACGCCGGGTGCCCCCGGGCGCGGAGAACCTCGGCGACCCTGGGACACCCCTCAAGTGATGGGCGGGACTGGAGATGGCGAAGGGGTATCTAAGGAGGGGACGGGAACACCCACAGGGATCTTAGAGGCGATCTGGGTAGGTGTTGGGAACCCGGCACGCGAAGCGGAATCTGGGCGCATTTCAGCTCTGCACAGCAACGTGCTTCAACCTCTGCATCTCTGCAGGTGCGAGTGGGGCAGCGAGGCAGGTGCTGGCGAGACCTGCCAAGGAAGAGCAGACGTACTGCCCCAAGACACTTCTTTGTTACAACCACAGAACGGCCCCTGGCTAAATTCTCCGTTGCCTCTGGACGACAAGGTGGAGACAGAAGTTGAGCAGGAGCTGATGGGCAATTAATATAAAAGACATACATACATACCTCAAGGGTGGTCTCAGATCTGCTCAACTTCTCTCTGCCGCCAGATGAACTGTGGCCTATGGATGACCTATGCGTTCTCTTCAGTCAGGTCAATTTCCCCACAAATCCTAACGTATACAGAAAGTCAATGGCATAGAAGAGACTGGGTCACAGAAACAGTTTGTCTGAAAACACTGGGTAGGTTGGTCAGTGCTATATTTCTTACACAAATAGTCACCGTGCTAGGTGCTAAAGATACAAAAAGGAAGACAGGTATTTCTCCCTGCCCCACAACCCAAAGGTCTAGTAACCAGAACTGTTTCCAGAGTAATTTCCCCTGAATTATCCATACACAGTTCATTATATTTGCATGTGCCATTGTTTTTATACCTGCACTTTGTGCTTTTCCTTAGCATAATGTTTTTTCTTTCCAGTCTTTCTATTGCCCTGTTAATAATCCCTGCCTTTCAAACTCCATTTCTTTATTTCTGTTAGTTACTTGCTTGGTTTCTTTGCTTCTGGTTTTAAAAAACAGAAAAAAAAGCATGTGATCCCCACCCAAAACGAATGAACCAGAAGGCTCCATAGCAGCAGCAGAATTTGGTAACAAACTCATTTTGAACTGTATGATCACTAAATTCTCTGAGCAGAAAGGAGAGGATTCTGTTAGAATTTGATCCCTAAGTCTACACTTAATTGCACACTTTATTATAATGTAAAATCATATGTAAATTTCTTGACAATGTCTTGACATGATGCTGAATCTGCCCACCTTTTTACTAGAGCAATAAAAGGCATGAGATACCAGGTGGAATATCAAACTACCAAAAATGAGTAAGAAAGCTTAGAATGGTTCAGTTGGGGGGAGAAGGGGGGAAGTAAGCTCCAAAGGGTATTCAGCTACATAAATTGCTGTTATATGGAAGAGGTCTTAGAGGTCATATTCTAAGTGAAGACCATCCAGGCCCCTCATCTGATAATCTGAAGATTTGAGATTGTATGAGGAGAGAGAGGGAGAGGGTAGAAAGAGGAATATGAGACGCACAAGATAATGAAGGGGCTGACATTTGGAAAGAATTTAAAAAGGTGAGTGTTGGAATATTACATTCAGTTTTTCCTATAGATATGAAAGATAGGTATTACAGTTCAAGGTCCATTAGGCAGGACCTTGGAAATCAAGTGGACAGAATTAAACAGTAGTATGAAACATGTAAGTTTAGGTGACTAAGAATTTCTTGCAAGTATGGTTGTAGAGACTCAGAAGGTCTTTTAAAAATCAAAGCATTTGGGGGAGGTGGGGAGGATGACCTAAATATAAGCTGGCCCAGTATAACACTAGCAAGTCTCTAAAAATATAATTCATGATGATGCATCATTAGTGCATTGGTGGCAATGGAAGGTCAGATTTAATTAGTCTTAACTCCCCTGAAGTTGCTGGTAAATCAAAAGAGTTTTAACATGGAAGGGGAAAGAGGACAGGTGAGAATGATTAGATTTATTGGGCCCTCTGGCAGGTCATGTGTCCTAGGTGCAGAGATAGCTTTCCAACACAAATTGACAGTAGTTTCTAGTGACTCTCCCAAGCCCACAAATCTCCAAACCTGCTTGTATGAAGTGGTCTTTCTTTAAAACCAATGCTTAAAAGAGATCTTACTATTTCTATGGGGTAGTAGAGATGGAAGTTTGCTAAGAGGGGAAAGGCTGAGAATCAAAAAGCCAACTTTAGCCCTCAGTGCTTAAATTGCATTATAGGACAAAGACTGGCAAGTGACTCAGATTCAAATGTTGTGATTTAAAGAGCTTTTCTATTTGAGTCATGCCCAAGGAGAGCTTTATTCTTTTTTAAAATATTTTTTTATTGATTTTAGAGAGAGAGGAAGGGAGAGGAAGACAGAAACACTGGAGAGAGAGAGAGAGAAGAGGGAGAGAGACATCAATCAGCTTCCTCCTGCACACCCCAACTGGGGATCAAACCCAAAACCCAGGCACAAAACCAGCAACCTCTCCATGCATGGAACAATGCTCAACCAACTGAGCCACACTGGCCAGGGCAGGAGAGCCTTATTTTTATTGTAGGTTTGGAATTGCCTCTAGGTTCACGCTTAGAATCACTATGCCAAGGGTCACAGTCAAGGTGTCCCCTCTTTTCAAGAGCAAATAGGAATAGATCAGTGTTGGTGTATTCCTGACCTAAAGTGATCACATGGATTTCCCCTTGAGGTGAGGAATCTGACTGGATAAACTGAACGTGCCAATGGCCCTTCTTCATACCTTTATCCTGCCCTGCACCACAGCAGATTTTCAGAATGAAGCAGGGCTTCCCAAGACTTTGAATTAGAGCTAGAACACCTGTAAACATTTTAGTTGTCATCAATGAAGGCAAACTGTCCTCCTACATCTTCCCAAATCCCTACATTGTCCATCTCCAATCTTGTCCTTGGCAACCAGAAGCCCCAGAGGTAAAAATGTCCCTACCCTTAATCTGAAGGTTTGTCTGTTCCAGGAAGACTTTAGGATTCCTGACAGCTAAGTACCTGGACAACTAATTACATTCATCAAATAAGATGTGACCAGGAAAGCTGTTTTGGGGAGGAGGAAATAATAAAACAAGCCTGATCATGCTAAAGCATTACTATTGATAGAAAACTATTTTGAAATTACAATATGATTCATGTGTGCTAAATAACTAGTAGAAGTTGGTGTCATTGACAGCATCGAATTAGAAACACTGAACACTCACATCTCAAATTTCACTGTTAAAAATGTTTTTCTCTTACTGCCACAAAGAGTCAGTAGTGAGACCCACTCTTATCCCTAACTGAGTCTTATGAATGTTAGGACGGTAAAAGAGAAAACAATGGAAAGTTGGACTGTGTGACACTAAAAAAGATTCTGGTGAGTTAAAGGACTGAATGTTTTGATCCCAAACTAATCTGGTAGAATGTGAAAGCCATGGAAGGCAAGAGACATGGGATCCAGACACACTACCATCTCTACCTAACTGTGAGAGCATGAGGCTCTTGGGGCTCCATTTCCTCCTCTCTAGAATTATGGTGAGGGGGAGGACACATCAGATGAATTCCAAGGTCTCTTTCTGTGGTAAAATTCTATTCTCTTCTACAAAGACTATTCCAGAGCGACTTTGCAAAAAATGACAAAACCCAGTACTTGGGGGAAAAATGAAGCAAAACCTAACAAGAGATTCTGGTGATGCAGACATTTTATTTAAAATTTAAAATCCCTTCTGAAATCCAGTTGTTTTAATTTTTCAGGCAATGGCTGCTTAGTGTGTTCAGGTAAGTCACTGCAATGACCTTGAGAAATGGAGAAAGAGATGATTTCTAAAATCTGTTACTTAATTGATTTCTGGGGCTGTCACCAAGGTCAGTATCAGATCCCACTCCAGAGTATAAGATTCCAATAATGAAACTCTTTTCACTTGCCAAAGCTTTCCTTCTGCCCCTGCCCCACCTTACTTTTCTTTTAGGGCTTTTCAGAAACACCTCTTGGTTAATCAGTCACTAGGTTAGCAGTGGCAAAAAGACAGAGTGAGTGTTTCAAGATCCCCTGAAAATCAAGATCAAATGTATCACAAAGCTCTGATTTCATTGCACCTTAGTCTATACCACTTTGCAGAGATATGAGCTCCACTTGTGCAAAGAAATGGAAAATAGCAATATCAGTCATTTTCTTTCTTTTCCATTTTCTTCTATTTTGAATTGGATTCTGTATAAGTTACCCCTTTCAAAAATTCTTTTCACTTTTGCAGAACCCAGCTAAGAGCATATGTTGTTTTCTCAAAGACTGATCACCTCCAGAGCCTGTGCTAGAAAAACCATCTCTCTGTTAATCTTGTAATTCTTTGATGATTTCAGAACAATTCTGTCTGAAGTTAAGTAATTACCTCTATTGAATAAAATACTGTGGAAACATGATAATCATTTAAGTATGATTTTTTTAAGTCTATAATGGAGTGATATTATATTAAAGTTTTAAGTTTAATGTGTAGATTCTGTTCTCTTTTAATCTAGTATTAGATAACTTTTCTGATCTTTAAAAAAAAAATTCTATCTGCTATTCATCTGAAACTGCTTCATGAAGTTTCCCCCTCAAGGTGCACCTGGATTGAAAATCAAGGCCTTCATTTCGAACATATACTCTAGAACCTTCAGTTTGGTGTTAATATTTGAAACTA